GTCGTCAGGAGCCATGGAGGTGTCTTCTTCTGAAAGCTGCCCCTTGCCTCTCCTGAGTGGGAGGAGGAAAGGGGACTATTAACAAAATAAAGGGAAAGGAGGGGCTGAAAGCCGAGAAAATGCTTTACCTTAAACATTTGAAAAAGGAAAAATCGCCAAAAAATGAGAAGACAGAGGCAGAGGAAGAGAGAGACAGAGACAGAGACAGAAGGCTTGAAAGGCTTCCTACCATTCAAGTTTGTGGGCTGGAGGCTGAATTATCAACGGAAAATCTTCATTTCTCTTATTGCCCTGAAATCACTAGTTCTCAGGAGCCATGAAGGCGTCTTCTCTGGACTTTTTTTTAGGTCATTGGGGAAGTTATGACATATTTTTTCTATGTAAAAATGTGTCACAACTTTCCCGACGACCCATTCTGCATTTGCTTTCATCTGCCACAGGGTGCTCGTGCCCACTGGAGAGAGACGGAGACAGAGAAAGGAAGTGAAGTTGGGGAGATGGCCTTCCCTCCTCCGTCCTCCCCTCGGGGTCTTGGGCAGGCACACACCCGCACCTTCTGCTGTTTGCAAGCCACCAGGCCTGCAGGGTCCAGCCACCTTCACTGCACTACCCGCTGGCCCGGAAGGCCCAAAAGTTGGCATTTTCCCATTAGCTCCGGAAGTTTCTGCTGGCCCAGGAAGCTCATATGACCTGGGCCAGGGCTGGCCTGGTCAACACCTGAACTTCCCATGTCCTGGGGCAGGTAGGCCACCCTGCCATGCAGGACAGCGGGGGGCATCTGGGTCCCGGCAGGATCCCCTGGGCGTTCTGCTGGGGAGCAGGCTGTGGGATCCCGACTTGGGGGTTCAGCTGGGGAGCAGGCAGCGGGATCCCGACTCGGGGGTTCTGCTGGGGAGCAGGCAGCGGGATCCCGACTCGGGGGTTCTGCTGGGGAGCAGGCAGCGGGATCGCGGCTCACTGGGCACTTGCACAGTGCTTTGCTCTCAAGGGGCCTCTTTGCGGCCATCGTAGCCGGTGGGCAGTGGGACTACTCCCTCAGTGTCCCCCAGTGGCCCTGCAGGGTGGGTTGTATAATTAATTGTCCCCATTTTGCAGGTGAGGGAACCGAGGCCTCTCAGCTAGTAAGTGCCAGGGCCGAGATTCCGGCATTGTTGGTCGCAGAGCCGGCTCCTCCCCTCACAGACTCCCGTGGTGGATGGCAAGCCCTCACAGCGAGGAGGAATGCCCCCTCCACCTGGCACAGACCCGCACGGCCTTCCTGCCGGGGGACCTCTCTGCGGCGTGGCTGCGAGGCTGCGTAGCTGTGTGGCACAGGGCTCAGCCCCACTACAATTGTGTTATAACTTTTTTCAGCTAGTTTTTTCTTTATTTGTGAGAGAGTGAGTGCATGCACACACGGGGGTTGGGGAGGATCCTTCCCAGGGTCCAGTCACACTGTGACCCCCTTCCCCTAGTCCTTAAGCCTGTTGGATCCCGGGCAAGGGGTCGAACCCTGGTGATCACGTGGGAACCAGCCCTTTCTTCTCTGCCCTCTTTTTGTTTGGTGTGTGTGTCTTTATGTCCTCTATGAGAGAGAAAGAGAGGGACAGAGAGGCACCCCAGCAGGGCCCCCCGTGAGCACCTGGCGTGCAGAGGGGGCCCATCGTCGCTGCCTGGCCCCCACTATGAATTTAACCAGAGTCCCCCGTCCTGCCTCTGCCCGCTCCTCCCCTCTTGCTGAAATAAAGAGACGCAAGATCCAGGCCTGCCCAGCTTACACTGACCCCAGACCTGCCGAAGCCCCTGCACTGATGGTCAGTCCATCCCCGGGGCACCCCTTGGACTGGAACAGTGCTCGCTGCACCTGCTCTGTGTCCCCAGGGCTGTGACGGAGCCACCAGGAACACAGTGTGACTCAGTGACCCGTCGAAGGTCACAGAGCTGGGAAGTGCATTCTGGCATCTGTTTTCTGGTCTCCCATTTAGGAAAAATGAGCCTTTGAAAGCCCTTTCTGCAAACATCTTAGAGTGTCCCTGAGTCCTGTTTATGCTGCAGGACATCGAAGTCCCCAGGGCACATACAGACCAAGGTTCCAGGCCCTCAGCCCTACTGAGGAGGACAGTGCAGGCCCAGGCGCCTCACTGTGGAGAGGCTCTGGTGACCGGGACCCCCTGAGCACCCTGGCTCCAGCCCCGTGCTCTCGGCCCCATCCACTGTCGTTTGCCCAGACCCAGGACAGGAAGCCCGTCCAGGTGCTGCTGCTATGCCTACCCTTCTGCTCGGGCTTTGCTGCAGAACACTCGCTCTTCATATGCCTTGGCTGTTTTATATACAACGTTGCATTCTGGATTTTCCCACTGAAGGCTCAAACATTTCGCATCTCATCATAACCCGGATGCATGAATGGCGGCTGCAGGGGTGGCCTGGTGTGTGCAGCTTCCAGCCAGGCTATGCCTCTGGAATGCTGCCCTCCGTTATTCCTCCGGAAAAATAGCATTGGTTGGGACGGGCTGCTGGTGGGGTCGGAGAGGCAGCCCTCAGAGAAGGATGGAGTTGGACTTTATCCCTTTATGGAATGGGGAGGAGATGGCGTGGTTCTCTGCTTCTCCATCCACGTCCTGCCCGTTTGTGGGGGTGTCAGGCCCTGCCCGTGCCCCTGGTGTCCCTGAATCCCCATGCCTGCTAACTATGACTCCCTTTTGTCCCCGGCAGAGGAGAATGAGGAGCGCACGATGATTGACCCCACCTCCAAGGAGGACCCCAAGTTCAAAGAACTGGTTAAGGTGAGGTCAGACTCGGTGGGTCTGCTCCTGGGGCAAGACCTGGCCTTTGAGGATGAGGCCATCTGGTACTGGCAGCCAACCTGGGGGCTCCTAAGAGGGATGGTCCCACTGTGAGAGGGTGGAAGGGGGTGCTGGTGGAGGGTCAGAGAGCGCACAGCTGGAGGGCTGGAGGGTAGAAAGGTGTGCACATGGAGGGTGGAGGGCATGCAGGTGGAGGGCGGGAGGGTGCTGGTGGAGGGCATGGCGGAGGGCGGGAGGGTGCGCTGCAGGAGAGAACTCAGCTGGCTCGGCGAGGGCCGCTCTCTTAATCTCTGCGGGGCAGAGGATACCGGAGGGGAGTCTGTGACTGAGAGTGAGCCCTAGAGTGAACTGTCACAACCTCTTTCAAATGGCTTCAGATTCTGGAGCGGGTAGGGGTTTGGACCACAGGCAGCTCTGAAAGGCCAGTCATGACCCCAGCCATCCCTCCTGCACAACCGTCCAGTGCCAGGTGCTTGTGCTGGTCGGACGGCCAGTTTCTGCCATGACTGCAAGTGTGAACAGCCGCTGTGCAAGACAGCTGGCTGAGGTTCCCAGAGCCACAGATACAGGGGGAGAAGGGCTGGTGGCCACGTGCTCCCTAGGAGTGGGACAGCTCTTCCCCACCCAGTGGGACTTCTGCTCTCCAGCCCGGCCCTGCCATTCGTGGTGTTTGTGTCCAGCTGCAGCTTGCGGTTTTGATCGCTTTGATCCAAACCCAAATAGGCCTTCAAGAAGTCATCCTGGGGAACCAGCAGTTGGCGTAATGGCTATGTCGCTGGACTCCCACGTAGTCGACCATGGTTCGTGTCCCGGACCCGGTGGCTTAAAACTCACGCCGGGCGCGTGTGCGTGCGTGCCCAAGATCCCGAGAGGAGAATGGAGGAGAAGGGATTGCGGCGTGACCATCCCCCCTGGGGGGTGATTTCTCGCTTTCTGTCTCTATGTCTCTCTCTGTCTGTCTGGCGAGCGCACGCGCCCTACAGTGAAAATCTGTCCAAAAAAAAAAAAAAAAAAAGAAGTCATCCTGGAAGGGGGGCTGAGGGTTCTGACGGCACCCTGACCCCGGCAGACCCAAGGCAGCTCAGAGCAGGCAGCCTGGCAGGTGCTCCACCTCCGCAGCCAGTCCAGGCAACCTGGGACTTTGAAATGCTGCTTTGAGGGCCAGCAAATGGTGTCATGGTTATGTCACTAAACTCCCACATGGCAGACCGCAGTTTGAGTCCCGAGTTGGTAGTTTGAAAATCATGCCAAGTGCATGTATGTGCCCAAGATCCTGGGAGGAGAATGGAGGAGAAGAGATTGTGGCGTGGCCATCCCGCCTGGAGATTGACTTCTTGCTTTCTGTCTCTCTGTCTCTCTGGCAAGTGCATGTGCCCTAAGGCAAAAACCTTTTAAAAAAGAGAAAGAAAGAAAGAAAGGAAGGGAGGAAGGAAGGAAGGAAGGAAAGGAGGGAGGAAGGAAGAAAGAGAAAATGCTGCCTTGCCAGTGCATGCCAGATTTTTTTTCTATTAAAAGTGCTTTGTACTAAGGCCCTCCGCCTTCTCAGTGCTGTTGGACTCGCTCCACGTGCGGCATCCCCACAGGCCGACGGCACAGCAAGCTGCAGGTTGCATCCTTCACAGATTGAAAGTCGGATTTAGGCCTCACCCCAAGATGTTAATTCTTAACGACTTAAATTTCCGTTTCTCTTATAAGTTTATGTAGTTCTTCCATGACAGAGACAGAAATGGAGAGGCAGAGACAGAGAGAAGTGGAGAGACAGAACCCCCAGCAGGGTTCTCACACAGGGTCTACCTGCGTCTCAGCACCCCCCCACCCCACCCTGGACTGTGGGCTTGCATGTGTGTTCACCTGGTGTAGGGGGTTCCCAGACACACCTAGAACCTTCCCATGTGGGTCCAGTTGTGTTACCATGGCGCCACATCTGGGCCCAGTGACTCTTAGCTTCCAAAGTGTCCCCGGGGGATGTTCAAGGAAGGGTCACAGGAGTCGCAGGCTCTCCACAGAACCAGCGGGGGGCATGTTCAAGGAAGGGTCACGGGAGTCGCGGGCTCTCCACAGAACCAGCGGGGCGCACACGTGGAGGTCTGTGGCGGCTTCGGCCCCCGTAACTGCGGGGCTGGGAGTCCTGCCACCTGCCGTCTGCAGGCCGGGTGTCCCAGAGAGCTGGCGGTGTGGGGCCTGAGCGGGCGGGCTGAGGGCGCCCATCCCGGGCTGAGCGCAGTGCCTGAGAAGCAGAAGCGCTGGGCAGGACAGGGTCCGCGCCAGCGTCATCGCACCTTGCTCCTCAGCGTGTCGGACAGATGCGTCCGCGAGGCGCTGGCCTCAGCCAGTCTCCCGAGGGCCTGGGCAGATGGAAAGGCGGACGCGCGGGCTCACCTCTCTCTGCCCATTCTGCGTTTTTCTTCTCCAGCATTCGAGAGTTCACGAGCTCTGTTCACAAGTGTTGTCGCCTCAAACAGCGCCGAGGAGCCGGGTCAACCTCACGTTCCAAGGGGGACTCAGGTGAAGCACTCCCCACGGCCCGGTGGCACGGGAGATCAGTGGTGTGTCTGGGCCGGAAGGGGACTATCGATCAGCCGCGTTCACTGAACCGGTGGAGCAGTGGGTGCTGTGCTGGGTCCTGGGCTGGAATGAGCCCTCTCCTGGGCAGGATGGATGTACGCTCCTCCAGACTCCCCCCCACCCCCAGCCCCTGCCCTGTCCGTGCCTCTGTGCCTGACCTCCTGGCTGTTTTGGCTGTGGTGGGCAAGGCCTGGTGCTCTGTGTGCCCACTGGCACCATGCAGGACCACAGCATCAATGGCACCCAGAGCCAAATGGAAAGGCTCCTGGCAGCGCCGACGGCTCCTTCTCTTCCAGACTCCAGGTTCAGAGGGAGGGTCGCATCGGTGGGGTGGGGCGTGCCGGCTGGAGGGGCTGGAAATTCAGGGCAGTTAGTACCCTTTGCAGCAAAGCGGGACCGAGGACAGGAAGGAACTGAGGAATGTGCCGCTGACCCGCACCACACAGCTGCGAGGCCCGGGGCTGCAGGGATGGGCTGTGCAGCAGGGCCACCGGGCTTTCCTCCTCGGTCACAGCCAGCGTGGTCATGAACCTGCTTCACCCTCCTCTTCCTTGCTGGTTTCTGACTGCCCCCCAAAGCCCCCAAAATGATCAGCAATGACTTTTGGCCTGGGTTTCTTCCCAGGGAACCTGGGTGTGGTGGGCCTAGGCATGGTCCCCTGCCATCATACGTGGCATCCGGGACTTTGCACGGATAAATATTAGGGTCTTGTCATGAGCAGACAGACCTGGGTTGTCCAGGTGGGCCTAGCATGACACACGAGAGGGGCAGAGGGAGGGCCGACTGCAGGGGCAGATGGCAGTGCGTCCAGAGCAGGGTGCCAGTGCTGGCACTGGGGAAGGAGCAGAGGCCCACGTCCCTAGGAACACAGTGGCTTCCAGCTGGAGAAGACGAGGAAACTGATCCCCTACAACCTCCGGAGGAGCCAGTACCCCGACAAGCACCCAGTGAAACTGACTTTGGACTCATGATCTCCAAGCCTGCTGTAGGATACATCGGCATGCCGGAATCCACGACAGCCAGTGTGGCTCCCTCTGCAAACTGCCACCTCAACTGCCGCCGCTGGCAAGACCGCTGCTGGG